AAAGCACTTTTAACATCTTCATCACTCGAACAAGCTTATAACGAGGATCAAGAACAATAGCAATTGATAGGATCAAACTATATTCATCCCAATAGCCCTCAAACTTTTCAAGCATAACTTTTGTCATGGGTGCAAGTTTAGGATCTATATGGGCTTTACTTATTGTGTGCTCAATTTTTAAAACACTAGCAAAATACAAATTTGCAGTAGGATATTCTGAACCAGAAAATAACACAGTGATTTCATGAAATGGCTTTAGGAAATTACATATTTTAGTAAGGGTATCCCATTCATCATTCGAAAGTTTGAATTCATAACCTATAAACCTATCAATAACCAATTTCAAGGCTTCCTTTGCTTCCAAAGCTTTTCGAATCATCGTATATGTGGCATTCCAACGAGTCACAACATCAAGACGTAACTTTCCATTAAACACACAGTTAACCTCATGAAGAGCATGCTCAAATTGAGTGAGTCTAGAATCTGAAGAATCAATATATTTACAAACCTCACGCAATTTTTGAACACTACTATCAACTTCTTTTAAACCTCTTTGAACAATAATGTTCAAGACATGAGCTGAACATTGAATATGAAAAAATTTACCATTACAAGGAAGAGGAGAAGTCAACATTAAATCTTTCTTCAAAAGGTTAACCATAACATCCATGGATCGAGCATTATCAACAGTCATTGCAAAAGCTTTACCCTGAAGGTTCCACTCCCCAATAAGTTTTAACACAAATTTTTCTACCTCAACACCAGTATGAGGAGGACCACAATATCTAAAATTCAGAATTTTAGACCTAAGACACCAATTTTTATCAACATAATGTGCCGTTAAAGTAAGATAACCTCGATTAGTACATGCTGTCCACAAGTCACAAGTGAAGCTAACTCTACCTTCAATTCCCGAAAAAGATTGCAACAACAAAGACTTAAACTTATCATGCTCATCAATACAATGTTTCAAAATAGTGTTTCTACACACATGATTCACATTGGGGTTCAAATTCGTAAAAACTTCCCTAAGGCCATGATGCTCCACAATACTTAAAGGATAGGAATGCAAAATTATAGCTCTAGCAAGCAATTGTAAATGACGTGTTTGATTAAACAGGAGCTCAACACCACTTTCATGATTTCCAGGATGGTGTGGATTTTTATTCATGCATGTCTTAGTATGAGCTTTACAAGTTGAAGTACCAGCATTACCTGGAGTTTTATATTCATTACCGCAAACATTGCATCGAGCATATTTTATCGGAGCAAGACCAACCATCTTATCAAAAAAGGTGTAATACCTCCAAACATCTGATGTTCGTCCACGCTTACTACCACTAGTGGTACGTTGAGTAGAATCTTGATTCTGAACAGTAGAATCTTGATTCTTTACAGTAGAATCCTCATCAAAACCAATAAACTCTTGCTCCATTGCTGAAAAAACAAAAACACAACAGTATAAATCAAGTGAAAACAAAAGGCAAATTAAGGGCAAATAAAAAAAAATAGGCAAATTAACACAGCAGCTCCGGACCTGCTTGCTTCAAGCAAAGCACACCAGCAACCTAGCCCAGCAACAGACAGACAACACAGCCCAGCTAACACAAGACGACAGCAAAACCACAGCTGCAATACCCTAGAAAACCAGCAGCAACCAACCCCAGCACCCAACCTGCAGCAGAGACATCAACTAGGACAGCACAAACCATGGCCAGAAAGACTCTGCTCTGAACAGGGCAGAAAACACCCAGCAGATCCTACAATCTAGCCTTGTACATCTAGCAGATCTGGCCAGACATTAGAACAGCAGCAGCACAGGACAGACCCTAGCTAGTACTACATGCTCTAAGCTGAGGTAGTCCATCTACAATTCAGTCCTAAAATATACTAACACTATTAGACAACTCCTATCTGAATGCACTTGCACTTTTGCAACAAAACAAAACCCAAACTTAAATAAAAAAATCCTGCTAGCATTCAGCATTAACCCACATAAACAGAAACACTAATGAGAGAACAATGCAGCTGATAGAACAAAGGATAACATTCAGTATATTTGAAGACTAATAGAGCATTATAGACAAAGCCATACATTTTAAATGCTCAACAAACAGCAAACAGTCACAAAGGCAGACCAGCAACAACACAGCAGCCTGAAAAAAACCAAGCACAATTAATAACACGAAAAGAAACCACGAGCATGAATAAGGTAACCAAATCAACTCAATTGTTGCTCATGGTACTACAACCACAACCCTGATCAGAACTGAGCATAGCCAAAGCTGGTAAGGCCAGAACACCTCACAAATAGATATAACAAAAAATGAACAACAAGAAAAATAAAATTAAAAAATCAGAAATTAAATGAACAACAAGAATAATAAAATTAAAAATTACATGAACAACATCAAAAAATCAGAAATTATATGAACAAATCAGAAATTATATGAAATTATATGAACAAATCAGAAGTAAAAATCAAAAAATAAAGACATGCAAATCCTGCAAACAACGAATCAGCAACATAAAACCGAAATGAAAACAAAAAAATTAACATAAAATTACCTTTGAGCAGTGACGGCTTGAAGGAGAGGAAGATTTGAAGATGGAGAACTGGAGAATGAAAAAAAAACGAGAATGGAGAGATCGAAAAAAAAATCGAAAAAAACGAAACGAAAACAAATACAATTAACTAAAATTTACCTTTGAGCTATTGAAGGCTAAGAGTTCAGAGCTTGAGAGTTGAGAACTTGAGAGTGAGTGAGGATTCAACGCTTCGATTTGAGGATGAAGAAGAAGAACGGTGAATGTTGTGGAATGAAGAGGATGAATGAAGAACCTAATTGTCTTTCAGTCTTTCACAGTTTCACGTTTCACTTTTTTTTTTTTTTTTTTTCTCTTTTGCATAATATATGAACCACATGTTTATTTAATTATTAAAGAATCAAAATATCTAAATTCTAAATCTAAAATGTGTTTTTCCTTTTGGTTTTTGGAGGGAAATTTCCCACCATATTTTGTTGAAATTGTCAACCAAAAAAATGAAATTAATTTTCCACTTTGTAAAAATCAAAATTTTTAATTTTATTTTAATAACATTAAACAAACTTTTATACAATTAATTAATTACATGACTTAAAAAAAAACTAATTACATTTCTCGGATCCCGATAAAACGATATTCACCTTCATAATATCAGCTTTTATAATTTTTTTTAACACACACATTAAAATATTAAGTTCTTTAAATTATAAAATGTGAATCGGTTAGCGTGTAATTTCTAGGCGTTGCGATTAATAAAAAATCGAAAATTGTTCAATAAATAATGATGTCATATCTTAGAGAGTTAGAAGTACTACGGATTTGTTATATGGTTATATTTATATCAGTTTAGCTGTACCTATAAGCAATACACTTGTAATCGTGTAAACTTATAAATGATATAGTTGACTAGTAGATTAGTACATAAATACAAATTACTTAATTAGATATGAGTTATGTCTACATGAGTGATTGACTAATATGACTATATGAGCAATTGTCAATTTAGCATAGCTGCATAACAGATTAGCAGCGTACTAGACTATCATACTCGGTAATATACTAATACCATTTCAGTATTTGATCTACTAGACTCAAGTTAAAAGTTACTCTTTCTGATTAACTTGTTAGTCTAATTAAGTAATTACTAATTACTAATTAGTGACTTAAGCCTTAAGGGTAAACCAGTAAAGGATATACAAAAATATAATAATCTTATGTTTCTCATCCCTTTATACTAATAATATCTAACTATGAGAATATGAGATGGTTATATGTTATGTATCTGTATAATCGATTGAAGGAATCAACATTACCTTCTTCTTCATTAATGTTTTCTTTCATTATACAAATCAAACTACTCTGTAATATCTTCATGTATAACTTTATGCAAATATATAATGATAAACGAGTCTTAATTATCAGTCTTGTTGACTAATTAAGTATCGAATACCAAATTGCAAATTTCGATGTCACAACAACTCATCAAATCATGATTATGACATTATTAACTAAATGATCAAATCAGAAGCAGATAATAATCTGATAGTAAAACAATAATACATTAATGCACTAAACTTTTATAATCTACTTCATAATAAACTAGTAAGATCAGTATAGCTAAACTTAAATCATAACATGATATGTATTTATAAAATTAATGAGAATTTGCATATAATATGATGCCTCAATATGAAGTGATGAAGTCTCGGCTTGATATAAAACTTGTTAACTAGCAAAAAGTTAGAAAGTAGTACAAAATTTTTTGAAATCAAAAACAGACTCGAACCGTAATTTAGTAAATCTGAAATAAAACCGATCTAAATAATGTTAAATCGTAGAAGAACCAAACCCGTGAACGAACCGAACCAGTTATACTCGAACTAAAATAAAACTAAACCAAAAAACAACCGAACCGTTTCCAACCTGAAACTGTTTGAACCGGGATAATAACCATTTACACCGAACCGTCAACAAACCGCAACCCGTCTGCACCGAACCGTTTACTACCTGGAATTTTTACAACCCGCACCGTTTACAAACCGAACCGAATTTAAACCGGGTTAAAAACCATTTACACCGAACCGTTAACAAAGCGCAACCCGTCTGCACCGAACCGTTTACAACCCGAACCAAATTTAAACCGGGTTAAAAACCGTTTACACCGAACCGTTAACAAACCGCAACCCGTTTGCACCGAACCGTTTACTACCCGGACCGTTTACAACCCGAACCAAATTTAAACCGGGTTAAAAACCGTTTACACCGAACCGTTAACAAACCGCAACCCGTTTGCACCGAATCGTTTACTAACCGAACCGTTTATAACCCGAACCGAATTTAAACCGTTCAAGAATAAACCGAAACCGAACCGAACCGATAATTATTTAAACCGAACCGAAACCGACCCGTAAGACATTTGAACCGATTTCAAACCGACCCGATTTCAAACCGAACCGACTTCAAACCGAATCGAAACCGAATTGTCAAACCGTTTTGACAGTGCTATTCTCGACCCTCAAGTTTACGTTCCTTCTCTAATTCAATGGCGAATTTCTACAGTTAGGGCAATTGGAAGTTTAATTGGTTGTGGTGGGGTCCGACGGCGGCGACGGCAGGATGAAGAGAAGGAGTGTGCAGTGAGAAGGAGGTCAAGGATAGAAGAGATTGTGAGGAAGAGCAGATGGTTGTTGTTGTTGGCGGTTTTGGACGAGGTGCATGAGTTCTTCCCATAAAATCATGGTGTCATGGTACAAAAGATCAAGGTTTGTTCACAGTACTTTTAGAAGCTTTAATTCCAGATTATTGCCTAAAACCCCTGTTCAATCTTCTGCCCCAAGAATTAATTCCAGTTCATCTCCTTTATTTTGCAATCAATTTAAGTCTTCTAGGTTATTTAGTCAGCTTCGGTTTCTTCAAAATTTGGGAATTTTAATGGGTTAAATAATCAAAGTAATTTGATATCATGCCTCAATCTTTCCTCTGATCCAATGAATTGTATTGATGTTCAATACTTCAATTGGTCTGATATTAATGTGTTTTTAGGGTTTGTAAAAATGAAAATATGGATATTTTGGGTTTTTAAAAGGGAATTTTGGATATTTTGGGTTTACGGCTTATACTTTTAAAAGGATAAGGGGTTTTTGATTTCTCACTAAAATTCAGAGTGTGCTGTGGTGGTGAAGCCTTGAAGTTTCTGAAGCATCTCCATATTAGGTCCTCAGAGAAAGGGCTTTACGAAGGTGAGATCTTATTCAATTGATTGTTAAAATTAAGGTAAGGCAATGGAGAAATTCTTGGTCAAGTAGTGTCATCTAAGGTACAATTGCTATTTCACTGATATTTTTTTATGGTTGAAATGTTTTGATCGCTTTATATTGTTCTGGTTGAGTGTACATATGAAAAATTCAATTATGCAATTGAAATAATTCAAATTAAGAAACAAATATTTGATTTTTTTTATAATACATTTGTATTTTAGCTATTGTATGTTAGATTAGTATCATATGATTCTATCTCTATTTGTGTATAATTATAGATTGTGAACTATCAATTTGATTACTTGGTTGAAGAGTTGTTGTGCATCGGTGCATTGAATTGGCACTCTGTATTAGAATGTTGCCCGAAGATGATGCAAGAAATCGTGTGAAGAAAGTTTCAGACTTTCAGCTATTCACAATCTCTGTCATAAGGTATAAAAAGAGGGGTGGGTGTGGGAGCTGCCTGCATCATCTTTTCTTAATCTTATATAATTTGATTGGTTAGTCATAATTCTGAAGATTTTAACATGAACCTGACATGGTAGATGGTGCTAAGTCACATACGAAAGTCATGTAAGAAGTCATAATTCTCTGCTGGGTTGACTTAATTTATATGTGATTCGATTTAGAACTAATTATTATTTGTAATTGATTACAGAAGAAGGCTCCTTATTACATCCAGAAAGCAGAGAAGAGGAAGGCTGATTATGAAAAGAGCATGAACACCTATAACAAGAAATTGGTATAGTCTAATTTGACTCCATTGGACTTTTGAAATTTGCTTATTTACGTTGTTATTAGTGTTTGAATGCAGTATAAATTTTGGCCTTGAATGCAGAGGACAAATTTGGCGATGAACAAGGTAAAATCAAAGTTTGGCCGATTATACGAAACCACTGGTTCAATACTTCAATCAGACCCTCCGTATGTACTTTGCTTTTTTGCAGAAACAATTACCCGACCACACAGACCAGTAGTTTAATTAGACCTTGTTAAATTCGTGACCCTTTTTTTTCATATTGCCAATATTTATTTGCTTGTATTGCTGGTATTTTTGACATGATTGTGTTATTGTTGAATTTTGTTTTTATATTTCCTGGTTTACTCAATTGTTTGCTTTCTTGCTCTAGATTGGGTGATAAATTAGACAATGGAGAAAACACTACCTTGAACAGAAAATCATATAGTAGACGAATCTCTCTCAACCCCTTTAATTCTTTAATTGCATGTTTTATGCTTTCAATTATATTTCACATTTATGGTTTCTGTGCATTTTTTTTTTTATGATTTTTAATTTGGTTTTACTTGTTTTTTCCTTTTTGTGATATGGGTATTTGATTAATCTAAGTTTCATGACTTGCATTTGAATGTCTCTTGATCAATTCGTGATTAAATATTGGAAAATTGATTAATATATTATTTTTAAAGATTGCTGATGAATTGGATATATCTAATTTGTTACTAACTAGAAATTTGGTAAAGAGAAATGTCATTTCATGTGTAATCTTGTCTATTAATATACTTTTAAAGTGCAATTAAATTCTTTTTTCCAAGTGTCTATACCATTAGATTTGATTATTTTTGTTGGTTAAGGGTGTTTCCAAGTTAGTAGAGTGTATATATTCTATCTAGTTTGGCACTAAGAATGAATACAATAAGAAAATCAGGCTGAGGAATTTTCTATTTGCAAGTTAGTAGGATTTCAAAATGAAATTTGAAAAAGGGTATTGTATGATACATGATTATAAAAATGTTGCCTTGATTTCCTCGTATACCGGTTATCAAATAGTGCTTTACATGAAGGTTGATTGCATTATCAATTTGCAACATTAGATTTTGCTCATATATATAAAATATCCAAGCTCTATATTCATCTATTATTTATTTATTTATTTATTTCTTTTGTCTATCTTCAGGTTTTAGGGAATATTTATGTAGGTTCTACCTTGCCAAACTCTTGTTATAATGTATTATCGGTTGGACTTTCATTACAATGAACTACAAGTTGGGGTACGTTAGTTATGTTTCTTAATGTTGTTTACCATTTAAGGATTATGGGATAAAAATTTTATGCCTATTGGGGTAAAATTAGGGACTTTGCTTTGAACTCTGATTTATATACTCTCGGGTGCATTGTACACCCAACTAACTCAAGGTTAGTTTTTGCTCTTCGATTGATGATTAAATGAAAAACAATCATCAAAATGACGAAATGAGAACAAAATACATATGGGTGTATGGTGCACCTGGGTGTACGTATATAATAAATTCATTATAGATCTTTGACAGTGAATAATTTAATTTGCTAGAACACAAATTGATGGTGGTGAATAATTTTGTAGAACTCTTAATGAACATTTTTTTAGGGATTAAAAAACTCAGCATTTAGAATTTTTGGTTGTTAATAACTTGTAATAATGATGTTCAGGCTGCCCTCTTCTCTGTTTTGAGTTTTTTTTTTTTTTGTTTTCCAATGCTGCTAATGATGTTTTTAATGAAATCTCTTTTTTTTTTTTCTCTCAGTTTAAATGACAATGAAGCCTCTGCTCTTCTTTTGTTTGCCTTCTTAATTAGTGTAGAGGTAAATTGTTGTCATTCTTCCTTTAATTTCTTTGTGGTAATATACAACATGAGTAACTGTCAAAAAAAAAAAAGAATGCAGGTTTCCATGCTGGTATGTTTCACATTTCGGTGAGTCACTACAACTTTTTTTTTTTGATATGTTTGTGCAGTGAAAGCACTTAGCAGCTTTTGTACGCTATACCAATCCCAACGTATCCTACTGTGATTATCCAACTACTAGGAGTGACAATGGGTGCTATATCCTAATTGGTTTAGAAACTTACTTATAATATTCATTTTAAAATTGTTTTTAATTTTTATTTTTATTTACTTTGGGAAACATTGCCCCTTTTAAGTTATATTTTACTTGGTTGTCAGTATGATAAGCATTAATAATTTTAACAGGCAGAAAGTTGAATTTACAAGATGTAAGTATTCTACTTCAATATATGTTGAAGTGCATATTGTATGATGATAACGTTAAAGTTACTTGAATTTGATTATTTGCCTACATATTCAAGCTAGTGGTTTTGAAGGACCAATACTATTTAGTATATCAACAAACTATGGAGTGGCGACAGGTTTCTTATGGTGAATCAATTGTTCAGTCAAATTTTAAAGTTTATTGGGAACATCATAGTATTTCACTTGTTTGTTTGTATGACTCTTGTGAGAGACATGTTTGTAATTTGTTTACAAGCTTAAGTATATATATCATTTTCTATAGTATTATTAGAAGATTTATATGTAGATGTCATTTAACTTGGGCCTTATATGGTTGAGATTGATAATCATTATTGTATTTAGTATAAAGTTGATAAATAAATTATAGTGCTTCACGTACAAAAAAATGCACTGTAGTGGTGGCAGTAGGGGCGTTTGCTACTGCTGCCATTTTTTTTTAATAATATAGAAGGCTATTCGTAACCGGCGTTAAGTTATACTAGTTACAAATAATACCCTATTTGTAACCGATGTAACTTAATGCTAGTTACAAATAGTATGCTTTCTAACTTGGAAAATAGACTATTTGTAACTGGCTTTAGGTTAAGTCAGTTATAAATAGTACATTATTTGTAACTAACATTAGCCGGTTACAAATAATTTTCACTAATTGTAACGGTGGCATTCGCAACCAACAATGCCAGTTACAAAAAGTCAATTTCTCCAGTTACAAATAACATTTTTTCTACTAGTGGGTGAGATCTCATACTAACTACGGTCACGGAGTCGCGCCCGTGGTCATTGGATGTTTATTGATGTTTCCGAAAGGAGTCATGGGGTTTAATTTTTCTTTTATTGATGTTCCAAATGGAGCATGGGTTGGACAACCTTGTCTATTGCGTAATCCAATGAATAAAAATAATGATATATCTATTATTAATTAATGGAGTCTTAGTAATATAAAAAGTTGAGTCGTGTGTTGAGTCTATAATTTAATGATGCATGATGTTTGATTATTAGTAGCATGTTAGGGATTTCATAATTTATTTCGCAGCTTGTATGTACTCAGCTTTGCTGATTGCATGCTTTTGTGTGTATCTTTCTTTGGTCATGACCTTCGCCTTTCAATGACCCTGTGACGATCCAATTTTTACACTTGTAATATTAGGGAGCAGATTAACCACAGGTTCTTACACGCAGCATTCGCATCAGGGTTGTGGGATTTTGAGTGGAGAGTTGGTTATTATTCGCAGTATATTTCTTTTCATAAGTTTGAATTTTATTAAACTCTGGTTTATTTATTTACTACTTTTGTGGGGTTTTGAATAAGGACCTTTATGGTTCCAAGTTGTATGATTTAATTTGGTTTTGATTATTGGTTTTGAAACTTATTTATAACTGAATTAGTTTTTCAGCTGCTATTTTCTGATAAAGCCTTAACGTTTGAACATGTGACGGTAGCACGCCAGTAATTCTCTTGAATATTGTTCAGGATCCTCACAGATTTGAAGAGAGAATTATTGGGGTGTCACAGAGTGTCTTCAATTGTGGGGATTTATTCTTCAAACAATAAGTAGCAAAATTTAAGAAAATTTGGTGGAATTTGGTAAAGGAAATGCGAATTGAAGTTGGAAGCTGTTTTAAAGAGATAATCGAGGGGAAAATCAGTCAAAAGGGTCAATATTGTCGTTAGTAGCTGCTATGTGGGGCCATAGCCGGAAAAGCCACCGAAATTTAGAAAAAGGTGGAAAAATAAAAACGCTTTAATTTTAATGGAGAATTCAGAGGTGAATATAGCCACTTTCAATGGGGAATTCATGATTGCCAATGAAAATGAGAGTGAAAACAAGAGGGGCAAAATGGTCTTTTCAAATTAAAATGCGGGCATTAGTATGTAAAATAAGGACGACATTTACTCCACAAAATAAAAAATAAAATTTAATGGGTTGTAATTTTAAAACAGGTCTACTATTAAGGAGGTAATTTACAAATTTTCCCTAAAAATATTGCACAAGATTACACATTTAATAATACAAAATCAAACATTTGCAAATATGAACACTTTGTAGATCTTTTGAAACAAAAAAAAAAAATTGACTTTATTATGAAGGAGAAGGGAGGTGTAGATGTGTAGGCAAATTATGCAATTATGAGGACGAGAGACCATTTCAAGTCCTCTTATTTTGGCAGACCCCTACTTTGACCTACGCTCTCTCATTCAACATTCTCTTTTCCTCAAAATGTATTAAAACTTCTCTTCTCTCCTCTATAAAGTAGGAGCCCTTTCCTTAAATAATGCTAGCAAAACATCCAATTTCATAAATACAATCTCTTTTTCAAATATTCCCACTTTACCGTCCACGTCACCGGTTCAAGGGAATTTTATTATTTTACATTTTAAGTGAATATTCGCTACTTCAAGTAGTGGTGTACGTTGGAAAACCGCTACACTTACTCAGAACCGCTACCTCAAGAAGCAGTTTCTTGTTTAATAAACATCCACTAACATAGTACTCCATCCGTTTCAATTTGTTAGTCCCATATACTACTTTGGGCGTTTAAAAAAGATCTACTCATATTGAATGTCTCCTTTTAGTGTTTTTATTTCCTACTTTATACATATTAAATTCTGATTGGTTAGGTTAATTGATTGTGAATTAATGACAAGACTCTAAGTAAGAAATTACTCCCATGATTTATGCAATTATGGATAATGTTTTCCTAAAAAAAAAAAATAAGGCAAAACTATTTATGAATTGTTTTTTACTTTAATGCTAGATTCCAAATATTCTCCTTTTCTTATTTTATGTGATTGATTCCATATGGGACTATCATATTGAAACGGAGGGAGTACCATTTATTCAAGCAGCAAGAAATTTCTGCCACAACTACGAAGAACACCTCCACCCTTTTCTGTTGATGGTGGTGCTCCTCCCCTACTACCGCTGGCTTCTTGCCACTCTACTGCCATCGTTTTAGGCCCCTAACCCTGTCTTGGTGTTGCTGTAAATTGGGGGTCAGATGAAGGGTTGTTTTATGTTATACCCTAATTTTGTTTTTACCTAATTATCTTGTTAATTTGTTCTTATTTTCAATTCACATAAGAAATTTGACAAATAATAATAATTGATTGCAACTTTTCATAACATGAGCAACCATTCCGATGTCCATCTCTAATAAACTGGACTCTCTTTTCACTAGATTTTGGTGGGCCAAAAGTGGGGACAAAGGCATCCACTGGATCAATAGGCAACGAGTTCAGCTCCCCAAAAGCATGGGGGGATTGGGGATTCGATATGCTAGTGGTTATAATGAAGCCTTACTTTTCAAAAATATTCACCGCATGCATACCAATCCACAACTTCTTGCTGCTAAAGTTTATAACGCAAAATCGGATTGTATCTTCTATCCCCCCTCCGACTGGTGTAAACCTCCTTCGGCTTCTTTCAGATGGGTTAGACGTGCTATGCATTCTACGGCTATTAAAATGAGGACAGGGTTTGCATGGAAAATTGGTACAGGTCATAATGTTCTAGTTTCCAGTTCAAAATGGGTTAACAATAAAATTCCAGTTGTTAACTCAAATCAGAATCTTAGATAGAGTGCTTTTTGGAAAGTTAGTGAACTTATTACCCCTTCCCGCTCTTGGAATGTTGGAATTATTCGGGATCGTTTTGAGTGGGATAGTGCACTGGAAATTTTTTCTATAGCTCTTCCCGCTGAGGAAGAGGAGGATTTCTTATACTGGCCCTGACATAGTATAGGGACCTATACGGTTAAATCAGGGTACGCCTTCTTAACAAATCCGGAAGGTATGCGAGAGTCTCCTCATAGGAAAGAAACTTATGATTTTTTCAAAATTTTATAGCGTCTCGATATTCCCCCCAAATGGCGAATTTTCATGTGGAAACTTGCTGTAAATGGATTCCCTGTCAAGGCTAATCTCCGAACAAGAGGAATTATCATTGATGCTATTTGTGACTACTGCGATCTAACAGAGGAGGATGGTTTTCATCTCTTTCTTGAATGCTCCATAGCTCGATATGCTTGGGACAACTGCCAGATATCGAACTGTTAAAATTTAACGGATGCCACTTCCCTAGAGGATTGGATCCGAAGCCATATTCTGCTTTTCTATAGTTAGGATGGAATCCGTAGTGATCGTATTCAGGCCTTTGTAGCCACTTTATAGGCCATATGGATTACTCGGAACAAGCGTGTCTTTCAAGGTGACAACGGATATTTGGGCTGTTACTTTGGTAATCTGAAGGAGGCTTTTCTCTTTTTGAATGATTATACGAAATCGACAACTAGATTACAGGAAATTGCTTAGTTACCAGATCTCTCTAACCGGGTCCCGCCAGGGTTCCTTCAGGTCTCGATTGGACAAGAGAACCATGTCCTCCATTTCAATGACTCTTTAGCTCAAGGTACAATTCGAATTGATGGTTCGTGGCAGAAGTCTAGCAAACGGTATGGGGTTGGTTGGACAATAGAAATGTTTAGCACAGGTGAATTGAAAGCAGAAGGAAAATCTAGAATTGCGACCTCAGCCTTACATTCAGAGCTCTTGGCATGTTTATATGCTTTACGCTGGGCTAGAGATAATGGCTACCGTTCAATCAGAGTTTTAACCGATTGTGCCTCTCTTGTGACGATGCTTAAAAGGGAAACACCCTTGGATATTCATATTTACTGGACTTGGAAGGATATTATTAAAATTGGAAGCACCTTCCAACATTGCATTATCCTCAAAGTTGATAGAGCACAGGTCAACCTCTCTCATTGTATTGCTAATCAGTGTCGTACTTCTTTAAACTGCTTTTCTAATTCGATAGGATTTGATTTTTTTTAGTTTAGCTCTTCTTCTTTTTCTTCCTTTCTTTCTGCTGTTGTCAAAAAAAAAAAAAAAAAAAAAAACCGTTGATTTTGGAGATTGTATATAATGGTGAGTTTTTAGGAACAACAAGAATTAAAGCTTGTGACTGGTTTTCATGTTGATTACCACTACTTTCTTTTGATGTAAACCGCTACTTCAAGTGGTGGTTTTCTGATATAA